CTCTCTGTGGGAAACAGGAGAAAACCCTAAATGTGAATGGAGAGTCAGTATTTTGCACTGTTGCATGTGTGACTTCTTGTTGCTCAGTCCCTGGATTGTGTCTGACTCTTTGTGACCCCATGAACTGCAGAATGCCAGGCCTCCCTGTCCTTCACTATCTGCTGGAGTTTGCTCAAACTCATGTCCATTGAGTTGATGATGTCACGCAACCATCTTAGCCTCTGTTGCCCTCTTCTCCTTTCCCAGCATTGGTGCCTTTTCCAATGAGTTGGCTCCTGTATGTATAGCTTGTAGTTTAATCTTTTTTTTTAAATAAATTGAAGTTTCTCTGCCTATGCTGGTAACCTCTCATTTACAGTTTTGTATTTGCTCTTGTGGATCTTCCCACATTAACTTTTCCGACATTACTTTGGACCAGCTTATTCTGCTCTCTTTTGAGATTCCATATATATTCCACGGGTTTCCCAGATGGTTCAGTGGTAAAGAATCTGCCTGCCAATACAGGGGACTCAGGTTCAATCCCTGGGTCAGGAAGATCCCCTGGAGAAGGAAATGGCAACTCATTCCTGCATTCTTTCCTGGAGAATTCCATGGACAGAGGAGCCTTGTGAAATACAGTCCATGGAGTCACAAGAGACGAGATATGACTTGGTGACTAAACAACAGCAATATATCCTGTGCTACCCCTACTGTCTCAAATGTATCAGATGTCTGCATTTTATCTTTGCACACTCCCAGAGGGAAGGGATACTTTTCCTTTGGTTCTCATGTTCCCTACAATGCTTGACCTGAGCTAGCACGTAGTAGGCATTCATTAACCATTTGCTGTAACACAAGAACACTGAGCACCAGCTGTCACGTAGCTGCAGTGACATGTTGTTGTCATGTGTGAATGGGATTGTCAATTTGGTCCACAAAGAAATCACTTGTGGCAAGTCACAGAAATAGGATTATCTTTTCATCAGAGCATAATGTTGGTTCTTTGATCGGTGGAGCCTTTTTCTCCCCTGACAAAGATTTAAGCACACTGGGTGCTTTCTTTCAATTAATGCTAATGGCAGGGTTTCCAAAGAATACAGCAAATAAGAAGGATAAGAGACAAAGACAACATCCAAAGCTACTTTTATTAAAAAGTAATCTGCAGCTTATCTTAGTTCTTTTGACATGGAATATCCAAAGATACTATTTGAATATTTGCCCCACCAGTATCTCTAAGGTTTTGAAGCCAGGGGCTCACTGAGCTTCCCCCTCATCTCTGGCCCAGGGCAATGTGCGGCACACACAGCGCACATCCCCCTCCTTCCTCTCTCTGTTCCCTCTTCTACTTCTCCTGTCACTCCTCCATGTTTATGGGAGGGCAAGGGTGAGCAGTGGCTACCACAGCCTTATTATCCATTTCTACAGAGTTTGCTCCTTTGTCTTCCACAATTTCTCCCTATTCCTTTCTTTATCTGCAGCCCAAATCCTGTTTTTGTGTCTTTCTAAGCTAAATCTGCCAAACTATGGGGCTGACTGCCCTAAACCAGAAAACAGATTGCTGGCATGTGTCGATACAGCACATGTAACTGTAAATATCTAACTTTCTGTACCTGAAACCGATAGAGAGGTGACATTTGCTGAATATGGAAGCAGCTTATTGGATGTATGAACTTGGTCAAGTTGCTTAATCTCTTTCAGCATCAATTTTCTTGTCTGTAAAATGAAAATAACAGTACATACCACAAAGATTGGCTTCCCAGGTGGTGCTGGTGGAAAAGAACCCACCTGCCGATGCAGGAGAGTTAAGAGATGCGGTTTCAGTACCTGAGTCAGGAAGATCCCCTGGAGGAGAGCATGACAACCCACTTCAATATTATTGCCTGGAGAATCCCGTGGACAGAGGAGCTGGGCAGGTTACAATGCATGGAGTCACACAGAGTCGGACACCACTGAAATGACTTAACATGCACACACACACACCATAGAGATACAATATGAAAATTAAATTGATAATTGTTTAAGCATCTTATTACTATTTCTGTCACATCACCAATGTTAAAGAAGTTTATTTTATTTAATAGAAATGAATAACTTTTACTTAGAAAGTTATTATTGTTGTTATTATTAATAAATATATCATTACTTAACATAATCCTGCTCCATGAATGCTCACTGAGTTCAAGTGCAAAATCCCATGCTAAGTCCTATAGAAAATACTAAGATGAATAAGATAAGGTATGAAGCTTAAAGGAGAGTAGAATCTGATGGGAATGAGATACTTATGCCAACTAACCATATTATTAGGCAGAAGGTGGTAACCATACTATTAGGCAGAAGGTGGTAAATGCTAGACGTGAAGTACAATCCCAAATTAATTAATCATGAACAATTAATCATGAATGGTTGACTCTGGTAAGGCTTTATTGAAAAGGTGCTATTTGAACTCAACTGTGAAGAATAAGACAGGACAAATGACACTGTAAGGAAGGAAGAGTACTGCAGTTTGAGTAAATAGTAGAAGACATAAAAATAAATAGCTTATGAAAGAAATATTGGATGATTATTTTCCATTCATTTAATATTTTATTGTATATTTATATATTTATTTACTTAGATAGTTAATCAGTAACTTGTTTTGGCAATAACTTACATGCAGAAAAAGGAAAAGATTGCAGTAAACTGTCCTGGATCAGCATTTTCCAGAATATGTTACTGATAGGGATTCCTGGTATTAGTAGTCCTATAGGTATTGATATTGCAAAACATTGTTCTATCCTTTCAGATTCTATTAATATTCTAATAATTTTATTAATATTTGCAACCTAACTACTAACACATGTCATATACTTGAGGATTTTCTTACAGTATGGCTTCCCGCACCGCGCCCCCCCCACCCCAAATCTTGTATGACACAAGCTAGGCCAAGTTATGCTGCAGCAACAACCACAAAATCTGGCTTAGAACAACGAAAAATTGATTTCTCAGTCATGTGAACCAGAACCCTGGCAGAGGGGGGACACTGCTCTCTGTTGTTACTCAGCGACGGACAGATGGAAGTTCTGTCTAAGTCATGCTTCTGCTGTGGTCAAGAAGGGAAGGATAACTTTCATGGTTCCCCCAAGAAAGGCTGTGTGGCACTTCATTCACACTTTTTTGTCCAGAGCAAGTCATAGCACCACATCTAATTTCAAATGTGAGGAAAGAAAGCTTACTATGTGCCTGGGGATGGGGAGGAAAACTTGGATATTTGTAAACAGGCCTAACGACTACCATACTTAGATTACACAATTAAAATGAGACTGCAGAATTTCTCATTCTTTAACATATTGATGTAAAATACAAATCTCCCAGAAGATGTTATAGTATGTAGACTGTCATTCTTTTCTGAATCTGGGACCATTTTTTTTTCCTTCAATAATCTATACTATCATTTCATGGAATCCAAATTAGGAAATTTTTATATACTCTAAAGGCTATTTTTAATTGATTATGTTTATAAATAGGAACTGAGAAAGGATTGGTGTTCACAGACTTGAATAGCTAGTAATACAGTCTGAACTTTTTCAGTATAATAGATAAAATAAATAATCCACAATTTTTGTCATTTGTGATCACCTACTAAATGCCAAATCTTATGTCATCTATTTTCATATATATTTTCCCAACTAATGCTCCAAAGAGCAACCCCAGAAAGACAAATAACATGACTTCCATTTTGTAGACTCTCATTTTGTAATTTTTGAGGACATCAGAAATCAAGGAAACTGAATAACTTACATACAGCCTTGTTAGTGAGTGGCAGGGCTTGGGTTTGTATCTGAGCTGTGTGGCCTGTGAATTCATGTCCTTTCTCCTAGTATAAGACTAGGATGTTGACCAAAACCTCTCTGGGATGACTGTTAAGGTTCTCCAGTGAAACAGAATCAATCGGATATCTATTTATGTATCTATCTATCTGTAATGAGGACTGGCAACTCTGAAATTTATAGTCCAGGCCTGAAGACTGGAAACTCAGGCAGGATCTTGACATTACTAAGGCAGAATATCTTCTTCATTTTCTGAAAACCTTAGTTTTTTTTTCTTTCTTTTTTGTTTTTTGTGCTTCTCTTAAGGCCTTTAACTAACTGGATGAGACCCACCTATATTATGGGCACTGTTCTGCTTTACTTAAAGTCAACTAGTTGTAAATGTTAATCCCATCTACAGAATACCTTTACAGTAACATCCAGACTAGCAAATGACCAAACGACAGGGCATCATAGCTTAGTCAAGGTGACACATAAAATTAACCATGACAACAAAATAAATGCTCTTCAGAAAAGTTAAAAATAAAAATAGATAGAATAGCAATCTAAATTCTAAGCTTGGTACATCTAGGATGAAAAATTCCTTTCGAGAGAAAGTTGTTTTTGCTTTTTTGGTCTTTGTTTCTATTCCTGCTCCTTATCATTCAGATTAATTCTATCCTCAAGACCAGTGAAGTTGTCAGGACACTCTAACCTGGCTTCCACATCCCATCCTCATCTACTTCTCAGGAATGATGCTACAAGGACCCTGTTAATCAGGCCTTTTGTTTTGACATGGTTTCATTCTCCCTTTATTTTCATTTTTCTGTTTTCCCAGCACTAACTCTTCCTATAACATCAGTTTAAAATTTTTCTGTTTGTAAGTAGTAGCCTTCCCTGGTGGCTCAGTGGTAAAGAATCTGCCTGCAATGCAGGAGATGAGGGTTTGATCCCCGGAGAAGATTTCCTGGAAAAGAAAATGGTAACCCCTTCCAGTATGCTTGCCTGGGAAATCCCATGGACAGAGGATCCTGGCGGGATAACAGTCCATGGGGCTGCAAAAGAGTCAAACATGACTTAGCAACTAAACAACAAGACTCTTTCAAACAAAATCTTGCTCTGAAGCTTGATGTGTAAAATAGATGTTCAGCTCTGCTCTAAAGTTGGATGAGATACTGGAATGTCACCCTTCCCCACACTGAGTACTCCCCTCTCACCCAATTTTACACTCTCATCTCCTCTTTGAGCTGCCATTCCATCAGGGCAAGGTAGAATGAACATTATGTCACAAAGACACCATGTCAACAGTTCCCCAGGCTGAAATGGGGGCCCCATCACTCCTACGGGAGATCCCCTTAATCCTGCTTCAGGTTAGTCCCAAGCTGTCCCTGTGGATGGGGCTGCTACTTCTACTGCTACCCGAAATAATATTCTTTTCGTTGCTCTGTGAATTTTCCAGGTTATTACCAGTGACTGCTTCAGAGCTTGTCATAAACTACCCAATATGATTCGGTTATGGAAGAATTTACAACAGATTCCCCCAAAATACCGTGCTTTGGATCAATGACTTTTCAAGTGGCTTAAGCGCTTGAACAGCTCCATGTGTCAAACAAACACAACTGAAACAAGTAGTCATTGTTTGTTTACAAGAGTCATAATTTCTTGTACTAATAACACATTTACTTCAAAAGCATCTCACAGAAAGATGGTGTCAAAGGGCTTGGGGCCTGGAGTATAAAACCTAACAGTTTGCACATTTTTATCTTAGAAAACAAAGGCCCCCTTCTCCCTTGAATGAGTACAAAATTAGCAGTTCCAAAACAACAAAACTGACTTAATTGCTATATCATTAAGACATTTAAATTATGTTAAAGTTTGAAGTGAGGTCTTCCCGCATAAAAGTTCTACCAGTAGCTTAGAAATCTTTATTTTGCGAAATAAACATACATATTTGTCACCAACTGCATTCTGAGGCTAAATGGGTAAAACAGGACTTGTATCTAGTGGCCAAGTATGGCATGAATACTCGTTATTCCTCTTCTGACAGGGATTCAGGTTCCCCTGAACCAGATGCACACTGTAAGAGCAAGCCTGTCTCATTGGTCACCATTCCTATGTCAATATTTGTTTTACTTAGACTGAAAGGTCCCTGGTCAGACACTTTGCCTATGTTATGTACTCTCTCAAATGCAAGGTATTGGCATTGTTCCTATTGCCACAATTGAAGCAAATAATGATGATCTTTTAATAAAAAGGCACCTTGAAACCCTGTGGCTTGTCAGAGCTTGATTGTGCCAACTGGTTCCCTGCCCGGGTCTCCTCTGCACACTAACTAATGACAGGCAGCACTGTCATGGGGCCTTTGACCTATTAGTACACTGGTCATTCTGAGTCGACTGGAGCTGGCTGATACCTTGGGACCCTGCAGAATGGTCATCACCTAGGAAACAACACGATGGTATGAGGGCCCAAATCTCTAAACAAAGCAAAACATCTGTTTTAAAAGCATTACCAGGTCCCAATCTCAGTGGAAGGAGCCCTGGGCTAGGCAGGGAGCTCAGGCTGCAGGGGGGACCCACCCTGTGGGCAGGCTGGGGAACTTGGTCCCATTGTTTAGGACCTCTCTGTTTCCTTCATGGTCTTTCTCCATACTCCTTCCAGGAACAAGTTTTCATCATAATTTTTTACCATCAAGTCAATATGTTAATTTATAAAGTTTTTAAAATAAATACTGCTTCACCTTGTGCTGCGCTTAGTCCTTTAGTTGTGTCCAACTCGTTGTAACCCCATGGACTATAACCTACCATGCTCCTCTGTCCATGGGGATTCTCTAGGCAAGAATACTGGAGCGGGTTGTCAAGTTCTCCCCCAGGAGATCTTCCAACCCAGGTACCAAACCCAGGTCTCCCGCATTGCAGGAGGATTCTTTACTGTCTGGGCTGCCAGAGAAGCCCTTGCTTCACCTTATTCCGCCTAAAGGAGCAACTCTAACATCTCTGTAGAATAAACTAGACACAGGAAGGGCAGGATGAGAGGACCTCATGATCATGATGATGAAGAGGATGATGACAGAAAACATTTTTAGAAGGCTCATCTGACTTGTGCTAACTCTGGTTTAAGTGTTTTCCATGTAAAACCTAGACATAGAATTGTGCAGGGTGTTCCCTGAGCAAGGGTGACCAGGTAAGGGGGCGGTGGGTGAATGGGATGATATCTAGGGGGGTAGATTTGCTTGCCATGCTGTGTATCCTACAGAGGGGATGTGCGTCCACCCTGACAGGGCCCCTTTGTCTAATTTCCACAATGTGCTGCAAACTATTAGCAGCTATGCTTATATGAACTCATCTATTTCATCCCCACAACAGTTCTTTGGAGTATTGTTTTTAAATACTTTCAAATATGAGGAAATTAATGCCCAGAGAGTTTAGTCAAATACCCAAGAATACAAGTGACTGTGCTAGGATTTGAAAATTGCAGTCAGAGCAAAACTCACACCCCAGTGAATAATAGCAGCAAGATTTGTGTCATGACTGCATCTAGAAGCTACCCTTTTTTTTCTCCTGTGATGGCACTTAAAATATTTTCTAAAACATTTGCATCCTTGTTCATACCCCACCCCCATATCTAAGGCAAACTGAAAAAAGTCAAAAGTTTTATGATACACTATAAAACATATTCTAAATGTTTTATATTCTTAACCTTTAAATTATATTTTTTAAGGGATGCCATATCATGACTAAGTCCAGAAAGAAAAGGGTCATCAAATGTGGGGAGAGCGCAGGTTCCCACAGGAAGCTGAGTAAACAAAATATAACTTTGTGCTTTCTTATTCAGCAGCTGTAACCTTTCCTCTTTATGCACTATCCAGTATATGCAGATGGATGTCTCGATGCACTGAAATGCTTTGTAAATCTTAGTGATAAGTAGTTTTTATCTAAATGTAAAAATGATACCTTTGTCCTCAAATAGTTGACATTAAAAGGTTTCTATGGGGAGATGGAGAAGTAAGGACATCAATGTGATTACGCCACCTTGTGGCAGATGATTGATTTTCAGCCTCTTTGGATCTGTTTAAGGAGAATTTCAAGGGCTTCTTGGGCGTTGATAATATCCAGCTCTTTTCTGAGGCAAAGACACTGATGTGAACTTAGCCCTGAGAATCAGCCTGTGCGTGTGTGTGTGTGTGTGTGTGTGTGTGTGTGTGTGTGTGTGTGTAGGGATGTTTTCCATTCACAAGTTTTGCATGACCTGTTCAGCATGTCATTCCTCATGGCCAGGCTTACCCCATTCTTCAACTCTGCGTTCCCGAACTTAGTGGCCACCAACATAATGGAAAGTGTTGAAGCAGAAGGAATGCTGTACAAACTTCAGCTCAACACAGTCTAGAACCCAGTTTAGGACACTGCACGATTGTCCCATACTCAAATATTACTTGCTAGGAAATGTGTTACTAATAGAAAGTGGGTCTTGCTTGCTGAAGTCGCAACTCAGCATTTCTAACGAGACTTCCCACTTGTTCCCTAGGCAACACACTGACCACAGCGCCTTGTAGTTCCTGCAGTCATGTCAAAGCATGCTTGTGTCTCTCAGAAAGAATGAGGAAAGATAGTAGTAACTTCTGTAATTATAAATCCCTAACAGCCTCCAAAGGAATGAAACTGAAGGATAGCAAATGCATGTATATAGGCAGACTTTTTCCAAGCAGGTCTCTGGCAAACCCAATCATCTCAAGGAAAGAAAGGGGATTAGGGTTTAAATATATAAGAAAAAAAGAACTGAAAAGTAATAAAGCTTCAAAAGATTCAATACAATGTGTTAATGCCACAAATGTTTCTAAGGTATCTGAGAGTAACTAGAATGAATACTTTGAGTAATTCATTGGAGTCAAAGAGATAAGAGGCTTGAACACACCCGTTCTCAGCAGGAACAGGCTGTGGAAGGTGTTGATTTTTCTGATCAGGAAGAAGTATATTTAAAATGAAAAGAGTACATTTATGAGGCCTCACAGATTTACAGTTGTGAAGCTATTAAGATAATTTGGGGATGTACCTCTAAATTTACTGAGAGGAGATGGACTCCAAGAAAAGAAATACTGAAGAAAGAAGTCTGAAAAGGAAAGCGTGTTATCTGAGGTGATTGTCACACGTCATCAAGAGCAAGAAAAGAATAAACCTGACTAACATCTGAAGACACATGTAAACCCTTTCAAACCTTGGGGACAGAAGGACGAACACCTGGATGTTTGACAATCCAAGCCAGGCCTCAGGACTGGGAAATCTGTGAACTTATCTGAGGAGAATAGAGCTTACTATGCCTGAGTGATAACATGTCACTACAAGGAACTTTCAGAACTTAACATTCCTAAGGCATCTCCAGCACAATTTGCAAGCATAGGTAGTGGTTTAAGTAGTTAGTCACATTCAACTCTTAAAACCCCATGGACCGTAGCCCACCAGGCTTCTCTGTTCGTGGGATTCTCCAGGCAAGAATACTGGAGTGGGTAGCCATTTCCTCTTCCAGGAGATCTTCTTGATCCAGGAATTGAACCCAGATCTCCTGCATCGCAGGCGAATTCTTTACCAACTGAGCTACCAGGGAAGCCCTGGCAGTATAGGAAGGGTTTCCAAAGGAGACAAACCACTTTTTAAGGAGGAGAGAAAACTGCGGGGGATGGGAAGGAGAATTGAAGCTGTCACATGAGATGAATTGAATTTTAGACTCACAGCCAGACACTGCAGACCACGGGTAGGGGGTGGGTGGGAAGCCCTAAGGATGTGGAAACCTATTACTGTATAATAAAAGGCTTTTGGCCAGTGAGTCTTAGAATAGATAAAAATGAAGAAATAATTAGCAGCATTTTAAATATCCCTCTAAAATAGACTACCAAGATTTTCCTCCCTCAGGAGGTCTATAACTAAAGATGGATATAAAATTGGGAGGGAAATTCTGAGTTTCTAGTGTCTGAATGGCAGTCTGAGTAATTTACCAGGTCTCTGGGAAGAAAAAGAGTAAGTGTCCAAATTTTCAGTCAATATTTACCTCTTAGGTTAATAAATCTTGCTCCTGATCTCAGCAGAAGTCAATACGTCCTGATTACTATATGCATGTGCCTCTTCGGCCTTTCTGTTTACCCAAACAAGACATGGAATGAGTCACCCTTTTCCCAAGAGCCCTTCTCTTAGGTCATGGGTGTAGACTGAATAATTGCTCACATATCAAATGTGTAGGCAAGTTGCCAATAATTAGAGCAATAGCTCAATGTTTATTTGAATCACCAATTCTAATGTGTTGGCTTTTCCATTTTAGGCTTTGGGGGTGGTGTTCAGAGGTGAAGCAGGGCTGAGGTATTCCTATGAAGCATTCAAAGCCTGTAAATGAGGCAGTAGCATGGGAGGCAGATGCAAAGAAGAAAAAAATATGTAGCATTTAAAGAGTGAAAATAGATCTAACTTTGAGTCCTGTTTATGCCACGTAATGGCTACAAGTTAATCGTTCAATTTCTTTGCACTTGAGCTGTTGGCTCTGTTAAATAGGACCGATAACTGGCCCTAAAAGGTTGTTGTGAGAGTTAAATAGATCCCAAATATGGCAATGATTTATCTTATAAAGCAAATAACACATTGCCATTTGAAGCCTAAGAAAGACACGAGTTTGAATCAGTCCCAGCAATGAACCCATTAAAAAGAAAAAACAAAGCAAATCCACCTTTCTTTTTAAAGGTGTATTTATCTTTTAAGAACATGATACTTTGAGAATATCTTTAAAGTGAGGTTAGCATGTGTTCATTTCTTCATACTCATCATTTTCCTCTCGTTTTAAAGGCTGCTGCTGTGTCTCAAACATCTTAGCTCGGAGACATGATCAAGGTTGGTGATTTTTCCCTCCTGCCTTCTTCAAAACGAATTTTTCTTTTAAGAAAAGCAGGGCTACTTATATCTTTATAGTCCAATTTGATACATTATATTGACTTGAGGACTCTAATTTTGTCAAAGCAGAGAAAAAATGGAAACATGAGACAATTGAATTCCATCCTGTGTATTTACTAGGTAACAGCTGCAGTTTGCCATGGAAGTTAAGCAGAATTCCAGCTCATCAGCTTGGGGTCAAAGGAACGGCTTTTGGGTTTTGTACACATGGTCCACCATGATGACAAAAAAAATGACTGTTTATTTAAAGTGACCAAACAAAGAGGTTTGGTCTTTGTTTTATGCAAATACATTTAAGTGTACAAATAATTTTTTCAGTTCTACCAATTTGTGTTGATGGGAATAAGATGTCAATGAACTGGCACAGAGGTGAGAGATGTGCCCTAATCTTAGTTTACTGTTGGATAATCCTGGGTGGTCCTCTTCACTTTTCTTTGACTGCATTTCCCAGGGATAGGACTTGACTGTCATCTTTCCTGTCAAAATATTAAGAATGCTTAAAATACTAATCATTTCATGCACTAAAAAATGTTCTACTCCACTCTGATGTAAAGAATCTGGACAAATTTCACATTTTAAATAGCACTCTCAGCAAATTTTGCAATCAGATTGGTGAGTGAAGCTCCACTGAGAACAATGGTTCTTTGTTTACATTCTGAAGGGTCTTTTATAGTTTACTTTTTAATTTTTAAAATTTATTCAAAACATATTAAATCTAAGTTTATCTAATTTATTTATAGTCATTGCAAAAACTAGACATAAAAGAAAGAAAAAAGTAAATTTTTAAAAAGTTAAAAATCCTGAAATCCAGATAAAGCTACCGATCTTTCTCACCTTATTCAACAAATATTTTAAAATTATAAAAAATAATACCTCCTCTTCATATGATAGAAATAATTATAAGGTATATTAAGAAAATTTAATTTTTCCCACATTACTGAGGGAACCAAAATTAGCAGTTTGGGCTTCCCTCATAGTTCAGTTGTAAAGAATCTACCTGCAATGTAAAGGAGAACCAGGTTTGATTCCTGGGTCAGGAAGATCCCTTGGAGAAGGAAATGGCAAACCATTCCAGAGTTCTTGCCTAAAGAATCCCATGGACAGAGGAGCCTGGCAGGCTACAGTCCATAAGATCACAAGAGTCGGACATGACTCACTGACTACACCATCACCACCATGAATCATTTGCGTTTCCCTCATGGCTCAGTGGTAAAGAATTTGCTGCCAAAGCAGGAGATGTGGGTTTGATCCTTGGGTCAGGAAGATCCCCTGGAGAATGAAATGGTAACCCACTCCAGTAGTCTTGCCTGGGAAATCCCATGGACAGAAGAGACTGGTGGGCTACAGTCCATGGGGTTGCAGAAGAGTTGGACACAACTTAGCAACTAAACAACAACGGTAAATCGTTTAGCACTTTCCTTACTCTCAAAAAATATATATAAACAAATAGACAATTTTACATTTTTAAGCAAAAGTTGAATCATATTGTATACATTATTCTGTAATCATATTTTTGATACTATTACTATTCAATTTCATTTGTATGTATTACATAATACTTTCTCAGTTAGAAGTATAATGTTTGGTTGTATGAGTGTGCACAGTTTTAGCAGTGACTCAAAACAGTGAGCATTTATTATCCCCTGACTTCTGTGTCAGGAATCTGGGAGGAGCTTAGTTTGGTCATTCTGGCTTTGGGTTTCTCTTGAGGCTGCAGTCAAGCTTTTGGCTAGGTTTGCAGTCACCTGAAGGCTTCACTGATGGGAAGATCTCTTCCCAAAGCAGCTTACTCACATGGCTGTTGGCTGGAGTTCTCAGTTCCGTGCCACTTGTTGGAAGACCACATCTATTTTTATACATGTAGACCCCTACATAGGACTGCTTGAGTGTCTGGCTTTTCCCTGGGTAATTAATCCAACAGAGAATGAGGTGAATGAATCTGTGTTTTTTATGACATATCCCTGGAAGTTTCATAACACCTTTTCCATGGTGCAGTTAAGAAGCATCTAAGTTGTTCTCCTCTTTGATAACACACAAAGGTGATAAAAATTACCTATGTGTGTGCTGACACTTTTATTTATGTCAATTGCCAAAAGTAGTATTTCTCATATGACATTTCAATAGAAAACCATTACATTATTTTTTAGGCTGGTGTAGCAATTCCTTTATTAGCAAAAGAATGTTGGGCGGATCTTTCTTTACAACCTTATAGATACGGATGTTAAATTTTTTGCAAACAATGCACGTAACCACATATAATTATCTAGATTATTCCTATGTACTTATATACCCTATAGATATAGCTGGTATAAATAGGTAAAATGGGATATGTTCTCCCATTTTTTAAACAAAAAATAGCCTCTTCTATTTATAACCTTTGCAACTTGGTTTTAAAATTTATTCATCAGCATATTACACATACGTATTGTAAATGAATTTTTCTGATAACATATATAAATTTCTATAATAATTCATCCTAATGGCTGAATAGCATACTCATTTATAAATGTATAACTTTATTTAATAGATCAGTTATTGTTACTAATGTAAGTTGGCTTCCATTTTTTTCTATTATTGTAATGATAAAATACTAAATATTTTAAAATATACAGTTTTGAGGACTGATATGATGATTTTTTTCTCACTTCATTTTATAGTAATACACTTGGGCAGGAACTAAGCTAAATAAGTCATACATTTATTGAGTGCACTTATGAAACTGTAATTTCTTTGAGAATGGATACAAAGAGTTTTCATCAGAAGACATATAAGAGTTGCTATTGTTGATAAACAATATTCTTTTTTTAATCTTTGATTATTATGGTTTCTCTTCACCAGAAAACAAAGCTGTTCTTTTCTCTCTCCACCCACTACCAAGTTCATAACTTTCTAGACAGTATTTCACTGAATTCACAATAATTATGTAGTGTTTCTAAGGGCGTCTGTTTGAAAACGAGGTGAGAGTGGTCCCTGTAGGAGATTTCTCCTCTTCCTACTGCTAGTTAACATTTATTTAGCCTTTACTTTGATTCCAGGTACTGCCCTGAGTACTTTGTAAGCATTATCTCAGTCAAATCTCTCTACACGTTATGAACTATTGCTCTTTCCAGTTTTCAAATATGGAAAATGCATCTTAGAAAGTTTAGTGCTCACCCAGAATCCTGCAGCTATATATGGAGCACAAACCTCATGGGTCTGACTCCAAAGCCTCGGTTTGTGACCACTACATTCTCTACTGTGAGTACCAATGCTATGAAACTTGCTTGAAGTTAAGAGTATTTGAAGACATTTGTGGTATGCAATATTCTTGGAAGGTCTTTACTATCACAGTAATTTAATGCTTCTTATCTTGCTATATGCTAGCTTTGTCAATGTCAACTTTTTGCTTCTTTTGGCCTGTTTTGCTTTGTCAGTGTCAATATTTTCAAAGGCAGATTTGTATACAGGGAAGATTATTCAAAGGTTGAGTTTAGTTAAAAGTATATTTGAGTCATTAAATGTAAAAATTTGAAAACTTAGCTCTTCTATAATCTTATATTTATAAGTCTGGCAAATTTAGCAATCACTTTTATGAGGTCTTTGATTAATGTTTAGTCCAATTTACAAACTAAGTTAATTAAACTCCTTTGAACATTTTAAACTAAATTTATAAGTTAAATATATTTGACTTCTTATTTAGATACTTCAAATGGATGATTTAAAAACAAATTTTCTGTAATACTTAAAATACCTCTAATGACTCTGATAAATTAAACCTAGAAATAATATGGACCTTAAGTTTTCTAAAATGTTTTAATATTTTATACACTTACTGTAATTACTATTTAAGCTAAATAAGATTTCTACTTAACGACACAGGCCTAAACCAACTGCTAATTATACATTTTAAGTTGGATCATAAGTTTTACCTATTCTTTAATAGACTAAAATATTTTAAACATTATAAATACTCAAAAGTGAAGCATATTTCCTTAGTTCATAAATATTAACACCATGTGTTTGATTATCTTAAATATATCTGTAATTAATTCTAAATTTTCAGTTCAATAAAATGCTACCAATGAAACATTTCATCCTAAGCAGTTGTGGGAGATAATTTCTCAGAGATGAGTGTATATCAGGAGATAAGGGCTAACATGATGAATGAATTATTTCTAGTGACCTGATGGGATATGTGGAGCCATATGTAGATATGGGATATGTAGATTCATAGTCATTATGTCAAAGGCGTGAAAACATTAAAAAACAAAAGAAAAGGTTGATCTCATAACCTAAGTATCTTTGACTTTCATTTACTCAAGGAGGTCTGTGACTCCACTTGAGCTCCTACCTCATTTGAAGGGCTTAGATGTGCACTCATAGTTACATTCCTCAAAGCAGAGGTATTTAATTTAACTGGCTGTTAAATTAATTGTGATGGTGGCCAGGGGAAAATAGAGGTTGCCTATAAGGAGAAGAAAAGTAACTGTAACATTACCACCTAGGGATTCCCAAGGAAGGACAAGTATGAAGCTAAACATTCTATATTGCTCAAGAAGCTCCTTTTCACTAAGGAAGAGTCTAATAACATTGACATTTTGGAAAAATCCACAGTCAAGTGGTCAGAATCTAAGATTCCAGTTCTAGGAGAATGGAAGGGAGATGAGAACAAAGGAAGATGAGACAGGTATGCATGGAAGACCTACCACTGTAGATTGGCTGGGTCTACAGAGAGGTGAGTGAGATGTCCAAGTCACAAAATGTAAGCTCAGTCTTCTAATTAGGAAAAGTGATAAGATTAAGAAGGTATTTATAATGTTTATAATTGTACTTATAACTATGTCTTATATAGCAAATAAGTAGTTTGGTTTAAGAAGCTTCAGTATTAGTTAATTTAAAGATGCAAAAATATAGCTCAGGTGATTTCCAACTTTCTTCTCATTCATTGTTGGCCTTTAAGTTCAGACTTTTGCCTTGACTTAGGATGGATTTTGACTCAGAAAGGGTCTCAAGGAAAACAGATGAACTTTAAATTAACATAACTCAAGATTGTTTGCAAAAATGCAGGAAGATTGTAGGCAGCCACAAGGGATGGTACTGTTAGCCAAGGGGCTGGCTGGTAATAGCAGGAGAATAGCCACCAACCCTGAGCATGGAGGGGCAGGAGGACAGAGCAGCTACCAGCGCCGGGAAGGAGATGTGTAGAGAAGCTAGCCTGAAAAGAGCTGTGACTTTCAGCATGAAGACACAACCACCAGGAGACCGTGAAGACAGGAAAATAGAGGAATTATTGTGTTCCTCACTGTCCTCTCTTCCTCCAGTCCTGTCAGAGCTGCTCTCTGGTTAAACCTTAGGAAATCAGAGAGCAAGGGAATAGTTTAACTTGTTCTGATAGGCCAGTCTTCCAGAAAGCAGAATGGGGAAGGAAAGAGAATTTTTCTAGAAGTGTAAACAGATAATAAGCAGCACAGCTGTCATGCTTTAAGCGTCATATATCCTCACATAACCACTTCCAGCACGAGAATGAGTGCCTCTCTTCATTTTTCTCTATTATTATTATTTTAGAGAGAAAGAAGTCTTTCTCAGAAGCTTCTCAGATTTTCTCACAAATTTGTTTTTACAGCATGTTCCAATTACAAGGGTGAATGGGAAAGTTAGTATCATAAGTGGAGGGACATGCAGGACATCACCCTTGGGTGGGCAGTCAACACTCTAGAAAATAATATGATAGTTTCTTAGAACACCAATTATACTCCTACCATAGAGTCTAGTCATTCCATTTGTAGATACTACACACCAGAATGAAAGCATGCTATAACAAACTTATACAAGATGCTCATAGCAACCTTATTTATAGTAGCCTTGAACTGGTAACAACCCAAATGGCATTCAACAGGTGAATGGATAAACAGATTATGGTGTATACATACAATGAAATACAGCTCAACATTAAAAAGAATGAGCTGTTGATACACACAACATGGATGAATCTCAGTTATGCTGAATGAAAGAATCCTGACAAAAAGGAACACTATGTGAATCTATTTAATATAAAACTCTAGAAAATAGGTGCAAACTATAGTGACAGAAAGCAGGTTTCAGTCAGTTCAGTTCAGTTGCTCAGTTGTGTCCACTCTTTGAGATGCCATGGACTGCAGCACCCCAGGCTTCGCTGTCCATCACCAACTCCCGGAGCTTACTCAAACTCACGTCCATAGTCGGTGATGCCATCCAATCATCTCCACCTCTGTCATCCCCTTCTCCTCCTGCCCTCAATGTTTCCTGGCATCAGGGTCTTTTCAAATGAATCAGTTCTTTGCATCAGGTGGCCAAAGAATTGGAGTTTCAGCTTCAGCATCAGTCCTTCCAATGAATATTCAGAACTGATTTCCTTTAGGATGAATTGGTTTGATCTCTTTGCAGTCCAAGGGACTCTCAAGAGTCTTCTCCAACACCACAGTTCAAAATCATCAATTCTTCAGAGCTCAGCTTTCTTTATAGTCCACCTCTCACATCCATACATGACTATTGGAAAAACCATAGCTTTGACTAGATGGATCTTTGTTGGCAAAGTAATGTCTCTGCTTTTTAATATGCTGTCTAAGTTGGTCATAACTTTTCTTCCAAGGAGCAAGCATCTTTTAATTTCATGGCTGCACTCACCATCTGCAGTGATTTTGGAGCCCAAGAAAAGAAAGTCTGTCACTGTTCTCACTGTTTCCCCATCTATTTGCCACAAAGTGATGGGACCAGATGCCAAGATCTTCATTTTTTGAATGTTGAGTTTTAAGCCAGCTTTTTCACTCTCCTCTTTCACTTTCATCAAGAGGTTTTTTTTAGTTCCTCTTCGCTTTCTGCCATAAGGGTGGTGCCATCTGCAAATCTGAGGTTATTGGTATTTCTCCCAGCAATCTTGATTCCAGCTTGTGCTTCCTCCAGCCCAGCATTTTGCATAATGTATTCTGCATACAAGTTAAATAAGCAGGGTGACAATATACAGCCTTGATGTACTCCTTTTCCTATTTGGAACCAATCTGTTGTTCCATGTCCAGTTCTAACTGTTGCTTCTTGACCTGCATACAGATTTCTCAGGAGGCAGGTCAGGTGGTCTGGCATTCCCATCTCTTTTAAGAATTTTCCAGTTTGTTGTGATCCACACAGTCAAAGGCTTTGGTATAGTCAATAAAGCAGAAGTAGATATTTTCCTGGAACTCTCTGGCTTTTTTGATGATCCACGGGATGTCGTTAATTTGATCTCTGTTTCCTCTGTCTTTTCTAAATCCAGCTTGAACATCTGGAAGTTCATGGTTCACATACTGTTAAAGCCTGGCTTGGAGAATGTGAGCATTACTTTGCTAGCATGTGAGATGAGTACAATTTTGCGGCAGTTTGAGCATTCTTTGGGATTGCCTTTCTTTGGGATTGGAATGAAAACTGACCTTTTTCAGTCCTGTGACCACTGCTGAGTTTTCCAAATTTGCTAACGTATTGAGTGCAGCACTTTAACAACATCATCTTTTAGGATTTGAAATAGCTCAACTGGAATTTCATCAGGTTTATGGGAAAGAAATAAGGAAGGGATAAGTGGAGGGTTACAAAGGGCAAAAGGAAACTTTGAGAGTGATTGAATGTGCTCATTATCTATTGCAGTGGCTTCATTGGTCCATATACATGCCAAAACTGATCAAATGGTATACCTTACATTAATGTGCATACATTAAAATAACTACATGCAGTGGCAGTTGGAATATTTTTTCTCTTAAAGTTCTTCTAACTGTCCAATGTCTGTTTCCTCTAAATAGTTTCCAACTTTGTTTTAGGATACACATTTTCCTACAATCTTCCATTGTCTAATAATCTTTAACGTCTCACCTTTAAGAATGGCTGTTACAGACTGATTAAGATTTCATGTTTTTTTCTGCTGTCTTTTTTCCAAGTCACCACATACTTGGTTTTATGCCATAATAAATGCCTTTTCTGGCAATTAGATAGTTTCAGAAGGGTATGAAATCATCTCTGCAATTAGTCAAAAAAGTTTTGAGGCAATGCCCTTTTCACATCTGTGGGCATTATTCTGTCCATCTTCTGTGATTTTCCAGTGGTAACAGCCCTACCATCAGACATCCATTACAGACTTTGCCCAGCTAGACAGTAGAATGAATGAGAAGTTTGTGCTGCTCCTATAAGCCTATCACCATTAGAAAAAGAAAGACTTAGATTGTGTCCTTTTCTC